CCTCAGCCTCCCAAAGTGCTGGGATTACAGGCTTGAGCCACCGCGCCCGGCCCTATACTGTATATTTTATATTTATCCTAATTTCTAAAAGGTGAGTACTCCTGTATTTCAGTCAGAAGTTAAATCAGTAAAGCTTCAATTTGTATCTTGAAGAAATGTTGGCCTAGTTTTGTTTTATCCTTAAATTATCGCACATATTGGGGAGGTACCATAGCCTAATGGCTCAGACTTTTAGTTGCAGACAGATAATGGTTTGAGTCCTGGTGTTGTCTCATACTAGATCTATGATCTTTCATTAAGTTTATTTCTTTGAGCCTCAGTTTCTTCATCTATAGGTAGGGGTGATACTATATTGTGAGGAATTATGAGTGCATGTAGTACTTTTCAATAAATTTTGGTAGTTATTACAATAATAAAGTGCCTAAATTTTATTTGGTGATATTATTTTAATGGAAGACAAGGAAATATGAGAGAGAGAAGAAAATTGACAAGAAGTCTTAATTGCTAATAAAAGTCAGTTTGCTTCTAGCTGATTCAGTATTCCTTAAATGACTATTCTAATTGTGAAAAACCATCATCTGAAGTTAAATAAATGGGAGATCAGGATATTTATTACTTTACAGGTGCAAATGATTTTAAAACTTGGGTTCTATGTCGTTAATTTATGGATTTTTTAGAATCATTAACTGCAAATTTGCTAATTTCTGATTTTCAAATTTTTAGGTTCTTAGAAGTATAGCACAGGCAGTAAAATAGCTCAAAATTTTTAATGGCTCAATTTTTGTTGATAGGCACTGAAGGATAGCACAGAAGTAGAAATTGTGGATGAAAAAATGAGAAAAAAGATAGAACCAGAAAAATGGCCAATTCCAGGTCCTTCTCCACGCAGTGTGCCACGAACAGACTTCTCTCAACTGATTGATTGTCCAGAGTTTGTACCAGGCCAAGCCTTTTGCTCACATACAGGTAACATCTTTTCTTCTAGAGCAATGTAACAGTGGGTGATTTGGTTCAATTTACTTATTTTTTAAGTCTATTTAGATTTGATAGGAAAATTAAAACTAACTGAAATACTTTTGATGTCCCATATTGTATTCATACTGCCTCACACAGGTGTAAATTAAATAAGGATTTAAGGATTGTGGGGGAAGCTGTCCTATGTTTCTTATTCTTAAACCATGTGTGTACTTTGTCATGTATGACATTTCTAACTATCTTTTATTTTTACTAAATGACTATAGTTACATATCCAGTTTTCCCCTTGTAAAACTGGAATAGTATGATTGGACTATTCAAAAACGGTCTTAAGAGTGGGGTAATCTTCCTTTAATTTTATTACCAGTGTGCTTTAATCCTGTCTTGGAAAGATAAAATGACCTATATTCTAAATCAGAATTGGGGTTCTGTTTAATTTGGTTGTGTTTAGAATTTCCAAAAGCTGTAATGTTAATAATTTTTTCCTGGATCATTTTTAAGGTATTCCCTCTTGGGAAAAAATGTGTGCTTAAACTTTTTTCAGTCAGGGTGATGATCTGCTGAAGCTCTTGGATGTCATTTGATCGGAATATGCAGTGGAATAGGTGACTCACTGAAATGCCAATATAAATACTGGAACAAATCCTGCTGCAAAAATGAAAGTGATCAGACTGTCTTCTGTTCAAGAGTGTCTATTCCCCCTCCTGGTGAAGGAAGTTGGGCCAACACTGCAGTGGAGATAACCACCTTTGCGATAATGAGAGACAGACCAGAGGACTGCTACTCTTTTTATAGGAGATGCCTATTTCTGTGTAATTGGCCTGGGCTGCATGGGCTGCTTTTATTCATGGTGGGAAAGTTAATTATTATGCTGGAAATACCGCAAGAGTATGTTTTCTGTTTCCAGGGTTACGTACTTGCGTCCAGATGAATCAAGCAGAAAAAGAGGGGATTGAGTAGCATTTCCCAGATTTTTAAGTATTTTGCTATTTGATTTGCCTTTCAATGTAGCGTACATTGCAAAACTCAGATGTTGTCATGATGTTTCACGTGGACATAAGACTTACTAATATGGACACTTAAGGGGTAAGGAATTTAAGAACTGGGCGAGGGTATTTTTTTTCTTTACTCTTCAAAATGTATTTTTGATACATCTGTATGAGAGAACTTCCTATCAACAAAACATCGATGATGGACAGTCTCATAATATATATTTTTTTATTTTGAGACAGAGTCTTGCTCTCTCACCCAGGATGGAGTGCGGTGGCATGATCCTGGCTCACTGCAACCTCCACCTCCCGGGTTCAAGTGATTCTCCTGCCTCAGCCTCCTGAGTAGGTGGGATTACAGGTGCGTGCCACCATGCCTAGCTAATTTTTGTATTTTTAGTAGAGACCAGGTTTCACCATGTTGGTCAAGCTGGTCTCACACTCCTGACCTTGTGATCTGCCCGCCTTAGCCTCCCAAAGTGCTGGGATTACAGGTATGAGCCACTGTGCCCAGCCAATATTTTTATCTTATGTTTCTCTGTAAGCCTTCTGCTTCTAATCCCAATAAGCAACTTGGACACTTATTTTAAAAGTTGAAGAAAAGTGACATTATTTTAGGTAGTGGTTTTTAATTTATTTTTTGTTAAGATATAATGGGTGATTATATAAGTTAGATTTATTTATTGTACAAACTTGGGTTCAAGGTTACAGTTTTAACCAGCTTATGAACAGACATTGGGTAAATTGGATAAAACAGAATATACTTTCTCTACAGGGTAGGTAGGATAGGTCATTCAAGTTGATAATGCCTGTCCATTAACCGTTTATGCATACTAATAAAATTACAAGAATAAAATCATAATGTCTTGTACATTTTTGTTTTTTAATATACACTCATGCATGCACATGCATATTGTCTTAAATAAGCCAATATAAAGATGTCATAAATTTTAGGTTATTAGGTTATATATCAGAAACTAGTTGGTTAAAGAAGAAATATAGAAAGATGGAGCATTCTTAGAGTTATCATGATTCCCATTAGGTCATAGGAATAAATATGTAAATCACTTCTTTCCATGAATTCCCAAATTTCTGACCTTAATAGTTTCCTAGTGATAAGAAAGCCTACTTTCTTTAAGTCATTGGAGAGTAGTGTGTCACAAAAATTTGAAGTAGAAATAGGGATCAGAAGCATAGACTGTTTATACATATCTATGGATAAAGAAAAGAAATCAGGCCGGGCGCGGTGGCTCACGTCTGTAATCCCAGCACTATGGGAGGCCGAGGCGGGTGGATCACGAGGTCAAGAGATCGAGACCATCCGGGTCAACATGGTGAAACCCTGTCTCTACTAAAAATACAAAAAATCAGCTGGGCATGGTGGCGCGTGCCTGTAATCCCAGCTACTCAGGAGGCTGA